ATTGTTTGAAGGTGTTGTAGTGCCCCAGTTTTATATCCTGCGACCAAGTTTCTATCATCTGCCACCTGACTTCCATACTGTCCTCTCGGAGTCCTGTATTCCAGCGGAACAGGAGCACAGCTCTGCAAGCTCGGGGTGTGGTGGGCTTTCCTCCCCTGTCAGCAGCACCTGAACTACTAACGCCACACGCTTTGTTACCAATTGTTTGAAGGTGTTGTAGTGCCCCAGTTTTATATCCTGCGACCAAGTTTCTATCATCTGCCACCTGACTTCCATACTGTCCTCTCGGAGTCCTGTATTCCAGCGGAACAGGAGCACAGCTCTGCAAGCTCGGGGTGTGGTGGGCTTTCCTCCCCTGTCAGCAGCACCTGAACTACTAACGCCACACGCTTTGTTACCACCTTTGGTTTCTGCTGTTTGGTATCCATGCCCAGTGAGTGCAGCACGGTTCCTCAGGAACCTGGAATGTGCCAGTGGTTTTCTGCTCAACTCCTCTCCCTAGCAGGTTCATGGAGACACACGTGCTCCATGGAAACACGAAAATATTAACACTGACATTAGACTGTTCTAGCATCTGCCATTTAGGGGTCTCAAACTGCCTTAAAATTACAAAAGTAAATCTGCAATGGTCTTTCATTTTACCAGGGTAAGTCAGCATTAATGCCACGTTGTTTTATTTTCTTCCTGCTATTTAGGATCATCCTGTGCAAAATTTCTGTAGTTCAGGTCACCCGAACTGGAGTTTCTATGTGCAGTGATAAACAGAATAATTTTTTTCCTGAGTCCCTCAAGCAAGCTCTTTTGTTTTAATGTTTTTGATTATTGTTCATAGTATCTTGACCAGACGATAATCTGTGATATAAAGCGCTCTCCTCATTGATTTCAGTGGACTGTACTGCAGTAGGTACTGTGTATCTCTCTAGTGCAAAGCAGAGTCTGGTTCAGGGTTCGAAAACAGAGTACACATGGACTTCAGGGCAAGCCTGTGATGTGAAATCTGACTTTAGGGGCAGTGATGAAGCATCTCACCGAAGCAGAATTTCAAACGTAACCTAGTAGGCACACTGCTTAGTTCTCTGCAGCGGGATTGCATTCCCTTATTTCAAAGGAATGGCTATACTAGAAAATTTATTTTCTTAATATTGTGCTTATGGCACCCAGTTAGTTTTAGAAGCAGATTTATGTGGGTGATTTTGGTCTTGATTTTTTAGCTGTTGTTAGAGGGGACCCACGCTGGAAAATAGAATGATTTTATGGAGTTATTCTTCTAAGATATTTAACAGTTGTTTAAAAAGGGTATTCTTGTTTTTTTCAAGTCTTCCTTTAAAGAGGAGATTGATGTAATCAAGTAGGAGACAACTGTTGTATAGATATTCCAAACTTCGGAGGGCCCTACCCCTGTCCTGCAGTATTCTGAGTGTGTCCATACGTGCTCACGCTCACACGTAAGAATCTTTAAATTGTTTTAAGGCAATCGTTTACTACAGAGCATTCGGTTTTAATAAGTGCATTTGATGAATATTTGTACATTCAAATGGTTATTTTCCGCAATACTTCTTTCCCTGTCTTCATCTTTAAGCTTAGTCATTGTATGTAAATAAATAGTGGAAATGTTGCTACTCGTAACATAGTTTTCAAAACTGTTTGCAACGAAGAGCATGCTGCTTGACCTTGTAAATCACGTTCTTCCATCGGCGGGTCTATATATGTCTCGGGGCCTTAGACTTAGACACGTACATAAAGTATTTCATGCCTTTTGAAGGTGATTTTAAGGCGAATTCCAGCTCCGTTTCCCGCAAGCTCCCCTTGCTGCCAGCAGAGAGCACTGTTGACCCATCCCCTATAGCTTTCACCTATATACCACAGGGACTTCCCACAGCCAGGAAGCAAACGAAAACCAATCTTTGGAGTGTGACACGGCTGTAATCCGTGGCTTTAGTTTCAGCAGTGGTGGTTTCAGCGGGGGGACAGAACGGTGAGGTCTGTTGGCATCCGTCCAGCAGGAGCACTTGGAGGATGCAGGCTCAGCAGGCTGCCTGAAGGCCATCAGATAAGCAAAATACCCAGAGGGCCTTTTCTGGCAATAATCCAATAATCCTATGTTTGTTTATTTAAAAAAAACAATGGAGAGAGGGGACTTAAAGAAAAGGAAATACCAGAGTTTTGATACAGTGACACTTAACTGGGAGGGCGGGCAGTATAATTGCTGAGCTTTGAAGAACAACAGGCATCATCATCATCAATAATTGATTAAAAAAGGCCCGTGTGAAAAATGTAAAATGTAAGAGAGAAGTGTAAAGATTAAAATAATCTTTTCATCTTCTTAGCCGAAAAGTTTTTAAAAGGAAATGATGTTAATGAGTCCAATTAACCCACTTACCTGCCTAATGTAATGTGTCATGTATCAGCATATGGCATGACACACTTTTTTGCTTTTTAAAAGCACCATTTTCAGTAAGAATCTTTCCCATTCCCCGCTCTGCAGCTTTGCCTGTTTACTTCCTTTAAGTGACTGATCTGTAAAAAACTTGGAGCAAACCTCTTAAATTAAATATTCAGCTTTACTGGCTAATGAGCACAATATGTCAATTTTCAGTGATCAAAATAATGTGCTTCAATAATGTATACACCATTCTGGAACAAAAATATAATTTTAATAGAGGACCCGCAGGGTCATAGTTAGTTTGAGATAATTATATGCCATAGGATGTGAGCGAATGAAAACTGCTCCTAGAAATACCCCACAGAGTCTATATGCCACATGCTGCCTTTTGGGGATAATAAGTGCTTTATTGTATTTCCACTACTCCATTAATGCAATGATTTTTGCTTGTTAGTAACTATGAGGCCTAAAGCAGATGCAGCCAAATTTATGGTGTCTAGCATTAATAATTGCTGTGCGTGTTAATGCTAGCTTTACGGTGAAATTGAGCTCTCCTTAATCCAAAATGTCCCATCCTCATTCAAACTGTACATAGTTGGTGAATTTCATCCTGGAGTTTTCACTGGACTTGTAAAATTAAAATCAAGTTATTGAAATAATCAAGCAGACCTTTTTACCGCTCATGACAAGTCTCATCCTGTGCTGTGACACAGTTACAAGCATTGTATGAAAGAGGGAAAAATTGCATTTGCGTGCTCCTTTTAGTTCATTAACCTTAGTTTAGAATTAGGCTAAGTCAATAAGTAATTGAGAGAACAACCAGGGCTTGGAGAACTCATTACTCTAATTTAGTCTAGCAATCTGTAACAAGATTTTAGTCTGAAGAATCTGCATTAAAAACTCTGTTAAGGATAATTTTTGTCTCTGAAAAAGGGATGTCAAAAGAGCTGCCTTTTTAAAATCTGAAGGCTTACATAGATTTTCAAAAGGTTGTAAATGGTACAGAAGCCTACAAACTTGTGAGAAATCCAGATAAATGAAAAACTGTTCTTTCCATTTTTCACGTGGGTTTAAAATGTAAACCTGCATATGCTAAAATCCTGAGGTTCTGGGTCCTTTTTTAGTGAGTGATACTGAGATGCACTGACCTTTGGTAGCTGCCTGGATTTCAGAGCTCTGCTTTCCCAGAGATCTTTGGTTGAAATGCCAGAGGTTTTCCAGTGGAATCCAGATCAGATGGAAATTTATAGGATGTATATTGAAAGGAGTGTGTTTCACCTTCCTTATGTTTTCCATATAGCAACACAGACTTTAGATATTAGCTGCTTAGTATCTCACTTGATCAACCTCATATTGGTACATTTATTCAGCCTAATATCTTTACTTTACTTGTACATTTCTTCAGTTCTTTTGTTCCTAAGTCAACTTTTAAAAGGAATTTCCCTAACGAGATATAGCTCATTGATAGATTTAAATTATTTTTTGAACTGTTAGAGAATCTTCTACTTTACTACTTGTATATAGCATTAACAGAAGGGCTGTGCAAATTCATCTGGAATATCATTCAAGCTAAGTGGTCAAATAACACAGTAGTGTTGTGATGATTATTAATAATCTGCATCTATGTATCTTTATTTGTATATGAGAACATCTCTCTTTATATGTATCTCTACATATACAGAGATAAAGTATTTTCTTTTTTAACGAACTTCTGTGAGTAGAAAGAAGAAAAATGTCTGTCTTCACACACAGGCCTAGATTAATAAGTTAGCAAAACCTTCTTGCTGTTGTGCATCCAGAGCATTAGCTTGCTGTCTGAATGACTGAGAAGCACACAGCTTCCTGAGCAGGGTGAAGGATGAGCATTCAGAGTTCATCTGTTCCACACCACAATCAAAACATGCCATTATTAAGGTTAATGATACAATTTTATAAGAGCCAGAAAACCCCATTTGTTGTAGTTCTTTATTTCTCTAATTCTTTTGATGCCAGGAAGTTCTAAATTTCTATGCATATTAAGATTTTATAAACCCTGCAAAATCATGAAGTGACCGCCGCTGTTTTTTGAGATCCTCTGACCACTCTAGCCATGAGGTTCCAAAATGCACAATGTATTGAGCCCTGTTTAAGGGAAATTGCAGTGCCTGAGTCGTGGTGTAGCCAGACGAGCATGGTAATGCTTTACTGAAATTGTAAGGCAGTGGAAACGAAAAGAAGAATCTATAAAACTCAGCTTTCTAGCCCTGAAAGGGACAAAAGGTTTTATCAGCTTTTGTAGCAGAACTGTAACAAGTTTTTGAAAGCAGTGCATTTCGCAGTATCAAGCTGCTTCCCAAATCACTGCCAAGGAAAAAATGCAGACTTATTGCAAAATAATTTCCTGAGCCCTGTATCTCTGGAGGTAAACTAGTATTTAGATAACTTGAAATTTGACCTCAATAAAATTCATTACGTGTCAAGGCAAATCCTTTGTGGCATGCAAAAATCATGAGCCATTCTACCTAGCAGCGTATTTCTCTGGGTCGTGGTGTGGTGGGGTTTTTTTTGTTTGGTTTTTTTTGAGCAGCAGGAGAGAGCTGTTTTCTTCCTGTCCTGCTTTTTCTGTCCTGCTTCTTTAAAGAAGGTGAATAAATTAACCTTTCCAGTTACAAATATTACTGTTCCTGTTTAGCATAGGACTGTTTTACTTTTCTCATTTTATCTGCCTCAAAAGCATTTGTGTACCTTTTAATGCTGAGAAAACAGTGGAACTGCAGTAGATGTAGAAATAAAAGAAAAACAAACAAACAAATCCAACCCTGAACCGAACTCTGCTTTTCCTGACATTTCACTCTATTCCAATCCCCTTCTTTTTCTTTTTTTTTCCGAGAGCACACTTTATCAAAACCCACAAGCTCACATTTTCTTTTGAAGTAAAGCTCCCTAAAGAATTATCAATGCTAGTTTAACTGGAAGAATGTTCTCTGTGTTCCAATATGCCTCCAATTCCAGTGTGCCTGAGAGTCAATGTACAAGTTGGGGGGAAGACTGGGAACTTTGGGCTGCAGCATGAACTTGAACTGCAGGTGAAATGCCAGCACAGAGGCAGCCCTCACCTCCTCTGACGTTTCCGTACTTGGTGCTACGTATGTACGTCATCCTGCCGGGGGATGTACATACAAACCCTTTCAATCAGAAAGCTTCCGAAGGCTTCACTTAGGAGCGCTCTTCTGCTAAAACCTGGTCAAGGGACTTTGTGTTTATTCTGTTGGGTTGGGTTGTTGGCTGCTTGGTTGGTTTTTTTTTCCCCCGTTCCATATTACCTGCTGTGTTTATAGATTGCATGGCTGTGGGGCAAGAGCTGTTTCTTCATTGGGTATTCTAATCTTCCGTGCAGCTCCGTGTATACCAGAGTAGTGTAAATTAGTATCTTTGCAAGTAATCAAAAGGACACAAAGCTCTGAATACCAAGAAGCAATTTTTTCCTCTTATACCATTCCCAAGCATGTTTTATTCCATGTGAATGAAAGATGCTTTTCCGCTAGCTGAAACCGTGAAGAAATGGTGAGAAACTGTTCTAAAATATTAGAAAAAACAATTTCTGTATCATGCCAATTTGCCAACAGTACCCCTCTGTTTTTCTTGATCATTTTGCTTACCAAAATACAAATTTATCTGGCTTTGCAGAAGGGTCCATAATGAAAAGAGAAAGGAGTTATGGAATGAAGGTTGCTAGGAATCAGCATATGACTAGATGCTTTTCCAATAGGGATACAATTTAGACTCAATAGGGTCTTTGCTTTCCAGACATAAAAGACAAGTTCATTTTTAACAAGTGTGTTATACACATTCTAAAGAGATTCAAGAATGTTGAAACAATAATCTTGACAAGTTCATATTTATTATTGTCCTAGAAGGAATCTTTTAAAATAGTAGTTCATGTTCAGTTATGGATCAGCATTCCCATTTATTAGTAATTGCTTTTCCTCCCATTTTTTATACCTTTTCCCTTCTCTGTAGCATGCAGACTGGAGGCTGCATTGCTCCCAAATCCCTGTGAAGCGGTGTCTTTCCCAGCTCTGGGTGTCTGCACATGCACTTATGTGTTCACATTCCTATTTGTGACAAGTTATAGCTGAAAAGTTGTAAAGTACTGAACATCTTATTCACAGAGTAAAGCCAGTCTTGCTCTCTTTATTCTAGATGAAGCTGAGTTTGAGTTCATTTTTACACTCAGATTTGTTGTTCTTGCCTGCAGTAAAGTACTTTAAATGTGCTTATGTTCTTACTAACCAGATAGGACGTAGGCAGAAGTTGAACTGGAGCTTTCAAAAATTAACTCTTGCTGCTCAGAATAGTATTTCTTACTATAGTTTAATGAAAATTTCAGCATGCTTGGTATTTTAAAAATTTTAAATGCATAGATTCTGAATAATGGGTCTGCCCCTGAGCTACTGAAATCTGTGATCAGTACCAGTTTTTAACATGTAATTGGTGACTGATAGAGTCTAAAGTAAAGATAGGAAATGCTTCCAGGCCTTCACTTACAGAAAAATATCCACTCCCTGATATAATGGAAAGATTTGTAAGTCTATTGTGGCTTATGTCCTATTATTTTCATACCGACTATTTCTAAAGTCTAGATGATGCCTAATAAAGAAGTCCTGTAATCATCTTTAAAATGA